TCTGTCCCTCACCATTGCGTACCCTGCCTGTGGCAAGTAACATGAGACAGTTAACCCAGCTCTTTTTAGTAATAACCTTTCCCTTCAAAATTAGCGTTCCATTTTTCTATTGTTGTGTAGCAAGCCACCCCAAAACTTAGAGGCTTAAAACAGCAATAATCTTTTTTGCTCAGGAAATTATAATTTGCAGGCTTGGCAAGTGCAGGCATCTCTGCTCATGTGTTGGTTTGACAAAGGACGGTGGTTCTGTTTCCAAGATGGTTCACTCATATGGGCCTCCAGGGGTTGCATGGTGGCTGGGTTCCCAGGAGATAGGCCGTGGGAACTGTCAGTTCTTAAGGCCTAGAAATGGACAGTCCTGCCACATTCTGTTGTTCAAGCAGTCACAGAATCTGGAAGCCAGCGGAGACACACAGACCCCACCTCTTTTTTATTTGTTAATATTTTTTATTGATTTCAAAGAGGAAGGGAGAGGAAGAGAGAGATAGGAACATCATTGATGACAGAGAATCATTGATTGGCTACCTCTTAAACGTTCCTCACTAGGGATCAATCCCGCCACCCGGGCAGGTGCCCTTGACTGGAATCAAACCCGGAACCTTTCATTCCAAAGGCTGATGCTCTATCCACTGATCCAAACCGGCTGGGACCAGCCCCACTTCTTGGTAGGGGAAGTGTCAAAGAATTTGGGGCTTTATTTGAGAAATGCCATGGTGGGTCAGAAGAGGGATTTGTGGACTTGATTGAATGCTTGCCTTTGGTTAAGCATTAGCATTACCTTTTCTGAATGGATTTAAGCGTGAGATCTTTCTTTTTCTGTACAAGGTTGGTCTCTGTCTTTATTAGATATATCCTCACTGCTAATTGTTAGCTCCTCCTATTAAAAAACAAACAAATTCCAACCTAATTTAATCTTCCCTGGCATAGTCTCCTCTAGGATTAAGAAGTTAATTTGTTTTTAACTGGGATCTTTGAGATCTGATCAGCTCCTCCATATGGAGACGGATGCTCTGTCTGCGGGAGCTTTGCTGGGTTTTATATTTGGCCAAAGCGACGCGCTAGAAATACGGCGTGTCGCCCTTTCAGACTGAAGCTTGGCTGGTATTACAGATGTAGGGAACTCCCCACAGGCTATTACCATACTCACTTGGGTGAGATTAGAGAGCTGGTTTCCTACATAGATCTCCTCCTTTAGGATTCTGTACTCTAGCTTTCAGTTTGTAGAGGGAGGATTGCATGAAATCGTGAAGGCATACCTGCTTTGGGGCGTTCACATATAGCTATTCCTCCCAGATAATCTAAGAACTGTTCTTTAAATTTTTATTTTTAAGTTGCAGTTTACATTCAATGTCATTTTGTATTAGTTTCAGGTGTACAGCATAGTGGTTGGAGTAGACAACCATATACTTTACCAAGTGTCCTTCCTCACCCCCACCCTCGATATTCCAAGTGCCTACCTGGCACCATGTGTAGTTATAATTAACTATATTCCTTAGGCTATACTTAACATCCCTGTGACTGTTTTGTAACTATCAGGACTATTTCTTAGACTTCTTACTGCCTATTTCCTTTCTGTCTTAAACTACTTTTCTAAACTCTAAGGACAGTTCGGATCAACTCCAGTCTTTTGAATGAGGCTGTTTGTTTCATCAACCCTTATTCCACTCAGATGGTATTTACAGTACTTGACATTGGCAGCAGCGCAAAGTTTAAGAAACAGAGAAAACCAGAAACTTTGGCTCAATGTAGAGCAGGCAGCTTATAAATTAGTATAAGAATTATCCAGACTCCTTGGAGTCTAGAGGAGGGAAAAGTTACTTCTAGGTGAGGGTTGGTAAAAGGCTTTTGCTCAGGCGGAGCTGGAAAGGGCAGTTCAGAGAAACAACACAAGACAAAATATAGAGTAGCAAAAATACAAAGAACTGCAAATAGAGAGCATGTCTGGGTTAGTAGAGATGGAAAGTTAGTCAGAGAGAACCCCAGAATGGTAGCATATTCTTTTGGACAGGCTTTGTCCGACTTTCCTTGAATTCCTCAAAGGAATCCTTCTTTTGGAGGTCACCTGAACTCATTTACAAGGAGGGCATTTGATAGTGCATATAGAGCATGACTGTAGGCAAGGAGTATTGTAAACCAAGGGGCCCAGTTTTTTGGGGGATTTTTGTATGGTTGCTTAGATCATTCTCTGCTTGGCTCAACGTTCACCTTCCCTGCCCTCCCAGAAGATTGGGCTGATATTCTGTAGCTCAAAGCCTCAAACCTCTAATCACGTGATCGGTCTCTCCGGGGTGACCTGCTCCCGTGCTGAATCATGTTGTTAGTATCAACTATCTAGGGGCCCACCCTGCAGACCTTATCAGATTTCGTTGTTCCAATTAACGTTCTTTATAGAAAAGATAATCTTGATTGGGCCATATTTCCCTTTTTCTTCATGTTTTATAATTTTGTGTTGGCATCTACACACATGAAAACACCTCCCTTTCTCAATGTTTATGGCCTGGTTTTGTACAGGAAAGGACTCGCACAAATGAGCCTACCTAGAGATTCTAGGGGGGCCTCTGACACCTTTTGGTGGGAGCTTGTATGTGTGATTTCCCTGTGCTGGAGTGTGGTTTCTCAGAGGGCCTTGCTGGCTCCCTCTGGTGCCTGTTTGTGGCACTGCACGTTCTCCGGTGCTACAGCAGCAAGGCTGCCTGCCATATGTACCCTGTATGTATCCTCTTGTTCTCGGATGCTACCAGCCGTCCAGAGTATGTTGGCTCATCAGCGCCCCACGTCAGGTGAGACAGATACCATTTGTGTGGTCCCATGAAAAGCTTCTGGTGCACCAGAATCACCGTCTACTCTTCTCCCTCTCCTAAAGGAGAGAAGCCTTGAGCTGTGTATGTGCCTTGTCCCAGTCATGCCAAGTGTGGGCTATAGGATGCCACTCTTCTTTACCTTTGGTCTCAGCAGCCTTCAGACATTCATGCTGGGCCAGTTCCTACAGCACTGCAAGTGAGGCAGCCCTCCTGGATGCACTGCGCTCTCTCCCTGAAGGAAAAGCCAGGGGCTACGTGTTGTTGCCTGGCACTGAGCTGTGGTGGCTTAGGAGAGGGAGAAGGGGAAAGTGAGCTTTTTCTTTCTCTCCGTTCCAGGGCAGCTGCTTTCAGCTTTGTGCATGTCCTTGTTAAAGCAGAGTTTCTGTGGTAGAATGAGGACTGGCACTACATTCTGCCATAGCACTGATGTCACTCCCTCCTCCCCATACGTCTTACACATCTGGTTTAGAAGTGCAATGACTGCCGAAACCTGCCGGGACCGGTTTGGCTCAATGGATAGAGCGTCGGCTTGGGGGACTGAAGGGTCCCGGGTTCGATTCCGGTCAAGGGCATGTACCTTGGTTGCGGGCATATCCCCAGTGGGGGGTGTGCAGGAGGCAGCTGATCGATGACTCTCTCTCATCGATGTTTCTAACTCTCTCTCTCCCTTCCTTTCTGTATAAAATCAATAAAATATATTTAAAAAAAAAAAGAAAAAAAAGAAGTGCAATGACTGCCGAAACCGGTTTGGCTCAGTGGATAGAGAGTTGGCCTGCGGACTGGAAGGTCCCAGGTTCGATTCCAGTCAGGGGCATGTACCTTGGTTGCGGGCATGTCCCCAGTAAGGGGGTGCGCAGGAGGCAGCTGGTTGATGTTTCTCTCTTATCGATGTTTCTAACTCTCTATCTCTTTCCTTTCCTCTCTGTAAAAAAAAATCAATAAAATACTAAAAAAAAAAAGAAAAGAAAAAAGAAATGCAATGACTTCAGAAACTCGCTTATATATTTACTATGACCCTGTATGTTTCCCACATTACAGCAAAAGACTTTGAAGCCACACTGAGTATAAATAATCACAGTCTTCCCTTGGTAAAGCTACATTCTGTTCTTTATTCATTTTTCTTTTTCTATCCTTGCAAAGTCTGGCTTTTTGGAATGGTGGAGAAAATGAGCCTGGTGATAGCAATATAGGTTGGCCTTTATATGTAGGTTTCTTAATATCTAGAGTACATGATGATGCCTTATTTGAGACTAAAACACAAAAGGAAATGCTTAAACCTTCCACATAGGAAGTTTTCCCAGCAAAATAGGTTTGTATTCATATTATCCTTCTTTATTTTTAAAATGTTTTTATTGATTTCATAAAGGAAGAGAGAGAAATAAAATTATCAATGATTAGAGAGAACCATCGATCGGCTACCTCCTGCATGCCCACAACTGGCGATCAAGCTCCCAACCCGGATAATATGACCTCACTGGCATCAAACCACGACCTCCTGGTTCATAGGTCGACACTCAACTACTGAGCCACGCCAGCCAGGCCATATTATCCTTGTTAAAAGACTGCAATATCTATTTTAAAGGCTTTAAATACTTGATAAACAGTAATCACATCATTGCTAGACTCTCATACTGATGATGGTAATAGTCATACTTTATTATAATGGCAAGTGTAACAAGTTTTCTATGTGACCGGCACCAGAACATAAAATAGAAATGTGCTGTTATAGCTGTAAATAGTTAACACACACTCCACAGTCACAATGCCTGTGACCGATCCTATAATAGTTCCACCACTGAGCCAGGTGATGGGGGTCCGTCCTAGTCAGCCGTGTTTTTTCTTTTGTGCCTCAGTTTCCTCATATAAAATGGATATGATAATAACTAGAGGCCCGATGCACAGAATTCGTGCAGGGGTAGGCCTCCCTTCTCCCGGTGCCGGCACCGGGACCCGGGCTGGCTTCCCTCCCGCCACCCACAGGTAATATAGATAATGCTACCTACCTCATGGGTTGTTCTGTGAATTGAATGAAGTGATTTATAGACAAATTTTTAGAACAGTGCCTGAAATTTAGGAAGTTCTAGATTCTTATTAGCTGTTAAGAGCAGTTGTGATGAGATTATTCTTTTAAAGCTTAATAACTGTTACAGATCATGTTTGAAAAAAAAAGATTGAATGTTCTTTCTCCTTCATTTACAGAGTTGAAACTGTGGGCCAACCAGATCGAAGAGACAGTATAGGAGTGTGTGCAGAAAGGCAGAATGGATATGACTCTCTGCAGCGGGACCAAGCAGTGTGCATTAGTACAAACGGTAAGAGATCAGTCTGTCAGCCCTTTGACACATATATATTAATTACTATTGTAAGATATGAATCTGTCCCAATGTCACACATTTATAGCAGGAGGTGAGAAGATATAGGTCTTCATGACATATCCAAATGGCTACTGGGTACCAGGCATTGTTCTGTACCCTTTATAAGTATAAATTACTTAATCTTTTAAACAATTTTTTGAAGTGAGGAGTAATAGGATAGCCATTTTATAGATGATGAGGGCTGAGCCACAGAGAGGTTAAGTGACCGGAGTTGGTGGGCTGGGTCTCGCTCCAGGGAGTCTGCCTCTGCTTTGCAGGAGTCATCTAAATTAAACCTAGATTAGGGAACTAGGGAGAAGGTTTAATTTGTTATATACCTCTCATGTTGTTTGTCCCTTACTTCACGGTAATCACACTTTGGAAAGTCACTATCAGTTATGTTCATATCATGTGGTGTGGGTCAAGCAGCCGGTAGAACGAGATTCCTGTTCATTCCGTGTGAAACGATCTTGCTATTCCACAGGATGTAATTGTGTAATGGAGTCAAGCTTCTTTTGATACCACCCATTTGGGAAATTCATAGTCTCTGTTCTAAAAGAGAACTCTGCCTAGACCAGAATTCTAAAATGTAATTAAAGCTTTAACTTTCCTTTCTGCCTTGAGGATGGGGGTTAATTAAATGCCTTATCTCTGACCAGTTGGCATTCCAAAGTGTTTTCTTTGTTTGAATTGGGAAGTTAGCTGTGTTCTGAATCATCTAGACTCTATTTCAGTTCCCAGTTGTTGCTCACAGGCAAATGACTTTTCACCTTAACATTTTAGGTGCAGTTTTTGTAAATGGAAAAGAAATGACTAATCAGTTGCCCGCCGTTACTTCTGGGTCCACTGTCACATTTGACATTGAAGCTGTGACTCTGGGATCCACCAATAATAACGAAGGCGGAAACTTCAAGCTTCGAGTAACTATTAGCTCTAATAACAGAGAAGTGGTTTTTGACTGGGTACTTGATCAATCTTGTGGTTCTCTTTACTTTGGATGCTCATTCTTCTATCCTGGATGGAAAGTGCTGGTGTTCTAGACTTTTGGATGATTGGCTTTGGTTTGCAGGTTTTTAATGTAGCTGTCCTCAGCCCAATTTAGTTTTAATTTATTTTTAAAAAAATATGGTAGATTCATCTCTCAGTCAAGCCATGGGAAATGGAAATTGTTTACTGGATTTATTTTGGAATATTTTAGCAATAAGAAACTTGAATGTTATGGACAAAAGTGTAATGCAGTTATTTTTATTTTTAGCATAGTGTTAATTAAAATGTCATGTCACAATATAATGAATAAAACAAATTAGTTTTTAAAATATTAGGAGATACAGAAAGCCCTATACCTTTTCACGCTATACTTTTAAAAGTTGGCTATTAAGACAGAAAAATTTAATGTATCATTATTTTATTAAATCTCCATCTTTTAAGAACCCAGGGCCATGTAAGACTTTAGAATAAAACAACAGGACTAGGCCAGATAGAAGCCTGAGTCTGTAACATAAATTCACTTTCGTGTTCTCCACTTCCGTGTTGAATATGCTCTTCATATTCAGGCATTCGTAAGCAGTATTGAATTTTATCACATATTCAGTATTCTTAAAGTCCCCAAAACATGATAATTTTTGCAGTTTTTGTAATTACTGAGCAAATGTCTATAATAGGCAATGTATTTTATTTTGTTCTTATAGTTTGATTCATGATAGGCTAGAGGACTTTTACAGGGTAAAACTACTTGTGGAAGTAGTATGCACAGCAGTGTTAGCCACATCACATGTATAGAACATGTACATGTGCATGTCCAGCCACCGTGATATGCATATTAACATTTTAATGGTATGAGCTGCAGTCCAGTTTAATGTCAGTTTATAAATGGTCGTTTAGCGGACCAAATATAGGGTAAATACTTGACCTATTTTTGACAACTTAAATTTGTGTAAAATATTTATTTGAAAGACTTACTTAGTACGTAAAATCATTATCTTAACTTGCTATATACCAGCCTACAGAATTTTTTAATGTGAATTCCCCCCCCCCCCCCCCCCATTTTTAATAGTAGAAAAGCAAGTCTGATATTTTTGTAAGATAATTTATTTGGGGATTTGCATTCCCTGTTAGACAATCATGACCTTTTTTCCTGTGCCTTATGTATAAGTAAGTCATCTTTCACTGAAGATGTGTTAGAATGTAGATGCCTCGTCCAACTGTCTAAAAAAATAAAACCTGAAAGTTAAATGAGTGTATTTTTTTTTTCTTGCATGATACTTGAATCCAATTTTAATCTTTACTTTTAAGAAGGGGAGTAAAGAGTTTCTTGTGAAAAGTTACTTATACTTACATTCTGTATATAAGTTTACTTATACTATATTCTCTGATACATAACACATACACAATAAATGTTTGATTGAATGAATATAGATGATTATTTTCTCCAGAATGTCATCTTATTGCCTCATTCAGCAAATATTTATTGAACATCTTTCTTATTCTCCATTGGAGAATGGCATCTTAAATTTATACTTCTAGAATCTACCTATTTATAGAAGTGACTTAAACCTAACTTAGTTTTAGACAGGTGTGGATTTTTTAAAAATATATATTTTTTATTGATTTTTTACAAAGAGGGAGGGAGAGGGATAAAGAGTTAGAAACATCGATGAGAGAGAAACATCGTTCAGCTGCCTCCTGCACACCTTTTACTGGGGATGTGCCCGCAACCAATGTACGTGCCCTTGACAGGAATCGAACCTGGGACCTTTCAGTCCTCAGGCCTATGCTCTATCCATTGAGCCAAACCGATTAGGGTCAGGTGTGGATTTTAATATTTTGAAATCTGAAACTAAATATTGGGATCAGGCTTTTGGTGTCAGGTCTAAGAACTCTGTCTAGCTCTAGACCCCAAAGATTTTCTCCTATGTTTTTTCTTAAAAGAATTATAGTTTAACATTTTACATGTAAGTCTGTGGTCCATTTTGACTTGGTACTTTTTTTAAAATTATATTTTATTGATTTTTTACAGAGAGGAAGGGAGAGAGCTAGAAACGTCTATGAAAGAGAAACATCGACCAGCTGCCTCTTGCACACCCCCTACTGGAGATGTAGCCGCAACCCAGGTACATGGCCTCTACCGGAATCGAACCTGGGACCTTTCAGTCTGCAGACTGACGCTCTACCGCTGAGCCAAACCGGTTTCGGCCATTTTGACTTGCTTTTTGTATAAGGTGTGAGACTGAGGTTAAAGTCCATTTGGGAACAGTAGATGTCTAATTGCCCAGCACCATTTGTTGCAAAGGCTGTCTTTCCTCCATTGAATGGCTTTTGCAACTTTGTCAACAAAAGTTTTTATTGGCTATATTCCTGGGTTTTCTCTTCTGTTCTATTGATCTATGGGTTTGTCCCTCTGCCAATACCACACAGTATGATTACTGAACTATGTAATGTTTTAAAATCTGCTGGTAGACTGATTTCTTTCTAATTCATCTTTTTCCAAATTGTTTTCCCAGTCCTGTTATCTTCTCATGCAGCTTTTAGAGTAATCTTTACCTCCAGAAAATAAATCTTGCTGGAATTTTGATAGAAAATTGTGTTAAACCTGTGTACCAATTTGGGAAGAGTTGACAACTTTACTGTGTTCAATTTTCCAGTTCATGAACACAGTATAGATTTTTTATTTCTTTAAATCAGCATTTTATAGCTCCCAACATACAAGTTCTGTACATATTTTGTTACTTGACACCTAAGTTTTGTTTTTTTTTGTTTTTTTTTAGGGACTCTAAATGGCATTGTATTTTTTATTTTGGTTTCCACATGCTGATTACAAATATAGAATTGCTCTTTATATGTTTATCTTGTATCCTGTCAAATTGATAAGCTCAGCCCTCCTTCCCTCTTGAGATTTTGTCTTTTTTCCAAGGATTTTCTAGAAAAATCTTTTTAGTTTCCAAGTGTCTTTGAGGGATTTCATGTTATTTTTCTACTTTAATTATATTTTGTTTTGAGAACACACTCTGTATGATTTCAATTATTTTAAATTTGTGAGGTTTATGTCATGCCCCAGGATATGGTCAATCTTGGTATATGTTCTTTAGTACTTGAAAAGACAGTAGTCTGCTGTTGATGGGTGGAACGTTTTATAAATGTAGATCAGAATCCTGTTGGCTGATGTTGTAGAGTTTTACATCTAATTTTCTGTCTAGTTGCTCTATCAATTTTTGAGAGGGGCATGTAGAAGTCTCCAATTATAATTTTGAATTTGTATTATCCTATCTAATAAAGACAGAATATGCTATTTGACCCTCACGCAGTCACAAAAGATGGCGGCACCCACAATCAATGAGGAAATGTGCTAATTGACTGCTCTGCCCTCAAAGATGGCACAAACCACAGCCACAAGATGGCAGCACCCAGTCCCCTCAGCCCTGTTGAGCTGAAGGTGCGTGACAAGGCTGGGCCCACTCTCAGGCAGGACCGGCTGCTTTGTGCACCTGCCTCCAGTGTCCTCCAGTCCTCTCATCCCCTCCAGCTGCCCAGGGCTGGCCTGAGGTGCAGGCAAGCCTCTGATGTCAGTTGCCCAGGCGCCCAGCGCCACCCAAAGCTCAGGTAACCAGGGCCGTCCGAGGCTTGTGCTGCTGGCAGAGGCAGCAGCAGAGGTGTGATGGGGAATCGCCTTTCCCTAATAGCTGGGTCACCTCCCGTCCCTGAGGGCTCCCAGACTGTGAGAGGGGGCAGGCCGGGCTGAGGGAACTAGTGTATTATATATGTATGTTGTATATAATTTATCCATTATATATCTATATCTTTTCAGTGTGTTGGTCATTATTTTACCAATTCAAATAAAACATTGAATCCTTATCTTTATTCTTCCCCTATTTCCAACATAATTTTCTTGCTTAAATATTTTTTCAAGAAATTTTGCTTTAACCATAAAATGTTTTAGAAAATGGAATGAAAAGCCTATTATATTTACCTATATTCTCTTTACCATGTTATTTCTTTGTTCATAATGTTCCAATATTCATTCTTGTATTATTTTTTCTATTTAGAGAACTTTGCTTAACCATTCTTTTAAGGTTAAGTTTGCTGCTGTAAAATTCTTACATCTGAGAATGTCTTGATTTCTTCTTCATTCCTGAAGGATATTTTCACTGAGTATAGAATTCTGGGTTAACAATTTTTTTCTTTCAATACTTGGGAATATTATGCTACTTCTCCTGGTTTCTGATTTTTTTTTTTTTAAACCTATTATTCTAATAGTTTTTCCTGGTAGGTAAAGTGTCACTTTTCTCTGGTTGCTTTCACTGTTCTTTTGTCTTTAGTTTTTATAAATTCAATGATTTTATATATTTGCATAGATTCCTTGTTTTCCTTGGCTTCTTGCCTTTTTAGTTTTACGTCTATGGCCAAATTTGGAAAGAGTGCAGCCATTATTTCAAATACTACCCTTTTTTCGTCCCAGTTTTCTGAGGTTCTATTTATTTTTAAGTCTGTTCAAATCAGGTTATTTCTATTGGTCTTTTAGTTTACTGATTCCTCTGACGCCTCCTGCCATTCTACTGTTGGGCCAATCCATGAGCTTTTTATTTTGTTATTTTATTTTTTAGTTCTAAAATGTCCATGTGGCTCTTCTTTTATCTTCTATTTCTTTTCTAAGATGTTCTATATTCTTTGCTTGAGGCTATTCATTTATTTTTCAGTGTATTCCTTGAAACGTACTTATCACGGTTGTTGTGATGGTTAGTCGTATGTCTACTTGACTGGGCTAAGGGATAGGTAGCTAAACATTATTTCTGGGTGTGCATCTGAGGATATTTCTAGAAAATATTAAAATTTGAATTGATAGATTGGAGAAAGTAGTGGGTGAGCATCAGCCAATTTGTTGAGGGCCTGAATAGAACAAAAAAGAGGAAGGTTGAATTCCTGCCTGACTGTTGAGGTGGGATGTGGATCTTCTGCCTTCAGCACTCCTGGTTTTAGGGCCTTCAGAACTGGACTGACAAGCCATTTTCTATTGAAATGTGGACATTTTTGTTGAGACTGGATATTATTTAAACCTCTGTCAGCTGGCTTTTTGACACCACTTGAGCAGATTGAGGGGAGGGGCACTGCCTCACTACTACCCCATCATTCTAGGCCATGGTCAAAGTCCTGACTCCACCAGGCTTTTTCTGAAATACCCTATCAGAGGGGGGGAGGTACTTCATCACTGCTATTGGAGATGGAAGTCTAGGCTCCTGTCACCACAGGGGTAGGGGTATTTATCATTGTCTGGTGGGGTGAAAAGTCCAGTTTCCCTACTTGGCCTGTAGGATAAACTCCTAGAGAGTAGTTAGGGCAAAGATTAAATGCATTGTGATTTAAAATTCTTAAGTCCTCACCATGAAACATTGATCAGTTACCTTCCATAGTCCCCTGATCCCAAACCTGCGGCTCAGGTATGTAGACCAGGAATTGAACCAGCAGTTTTTGGTGCACAGCACACTCAACCAACCGAGTCACTCTGGCCAGGCTATTGTGATTCTAATAAAAGTACCAGAATGCTCTCTCTAGATGTTGTACCAATTTATTTTCCAAAAATGTCTTTAAAATTCATCATAAAAATTTTAAAAATAGAATATTACTTTTGTTTCATATCTCATTAGTACTAATATTTTTTTACAATTTCCAATTACCACCAGAAATGTTTTGAGTGTTTATTTACATATTAGCAAACTTTCATCTTTAGCAAGCTGAATCTATGTTCTTGATCTTACTCCTTTTTTCTAGTAACTTTTAAAAAATATTTTTATTTCAGAGAGGAAGATGTAGAGAAACATCGATAAGAGAGAATCATTGATTGGCTGCCTCCTGCAAAACCCCCATTGGGGATCAAGCCCACAACCTGGGCATGTGCCCTTAACTAGAATCAAACCTGGGACCCTTTAGCTTGCAGGCCAACACTCTATCCACGGAGCCAAATCAGCTAGGACTTTTCTAGTAACTTTTATCTTAGGTCTTTTTTCTTTTCCTGTTTAGTTATATCCAAACTTCCCATCCATTCTCCCCCAAATTCTTCATTTGCCCATTTCATTGGCCCCACTTTTTATATACTCTGTGACTGGAAAAGGAGTTGGAGATATTTAATACACTGATTAAACCCGTTTGCTATCACTTACCTCCCTTGAAGCTGCCATTTTATCAATATTTACTGTTGTGGGACTGCCTCTTTTTTGGAAACTCCTCTCATTCCTCTATATTGCAGTGCCATTCAACAGTTACTTTTTGGGCACTTAATTCACAAGTCAGTGTTACCTGGACTATTACAATACTATTCTAGACCTGGCTGGTTTGGCTCAGTGATAAGAGCATGTGGACTGAGGGGTCCTGGGTTTGATTCTGGTTGTGGACATAGGCCCGGGTTGTGGGCTCAATCCCCAGTACGGGGTGTATGCAGGAGGCAGCCGACCAGTGATTCTCTCATCATTGGTTTATCTCCCTCCCTCTGGTATCAATAAAATAAATATATATTTTTAAAAAATAGCATTCTAGAATTTCTTCCTATGTAGGTTCTCCCTTCCCAAATTCTTATAGCTGTGGCCACCTAACATATAAGTTGGCTTGTATCTCTGCAGTAAATCTCTTAAATACTTCTGCTGCTTGAAACCCAAACCTTTAACATGGCATGTAAAGCCCTCATCACATCACCAAATAGCTGAGCACCAACTAAGACCATTAGACAGTACTGTACATACAGTGAGAGAGAGTTAATGGTCTAATGAAAAGGAAACAAGTGCTTAAACACACATGAGTTTTATAACTATCATTTGTATCCCGCTCTAGTCTGAACTTTTTGAGAGCCAAGATAAATTCTTTTTCATTAAAAAGTGAACAGTCTGGCTAGCCTAGCTCAGTGGTTGAGCGTTGACCTATGAACCAGGAGGTCATGGTTGGATTCTCGGTCAGGACACGCCTGGATTGCAGGCTCAATCTTCAGTGTTGGGTGTGCAAGAGACAGCAGACCAATGATTCTCTCATTAATGTTTCTCTCTCCCCCTCTACTTCCTTCCTCTCTGAAATCAATATATATTAAAAAAAAAAGAAAAAAGGAAAGAATCCACTAACAAAGATGGATAACTCTAATATTGACATTACTTTGAACTATAAGTTTAAAAATATATTTTGGTATTACCATAAAGAACATACTCGAGTTGAAATTAATGTTACTAAAACTGAAAGTAAGTTTCACATTAATTTTTTCTTTCTCTTAGCTTAAACAGACATTTCTCATTTTTCTGGAGGCTGCAAAGTCCTTTCTCAATCTCTTATCAGCTTTGACTGATAGGTGTACTTCTGGATCATTAATATCCTAAACAAATCCAAGTTTTAGTGCACAAATTAACAATGCATAAAATAACAAAACAGAATACAACTTTTATATTATTGAACTTTATGTACAAAATCATTTGATTTCAAATAAACATTTAATGTAAAAACAAACGTTCTTTTAAACTGATTTTTTTTACATCTACTGTACCTTTCAAATGCTTTATCATCTTACATGATTTCTTCAAAATCTCTTATCAAGGGGTACATATAGAAAAGCATTTTTTTATAAATAGAAACAAAGGGATTTTTTTCAGCTCTTATAAGATGACATAAAAAGTTTACTCAACAGAAGTAATTTCATTACTATTTGGGGGAGGGAATCACCAACTTTTTGTGCAAAAAATGCTAGCCTTCTTTTAAGCATTAAGAGCATAACTGCTTAAGAAATGACATAAGCAAAATTTCTACACCTACATCTCCCCTAAAATAATCTATCTTTTTTTTTTTTTTACATATGTGCACAGCTTTAGCAAATTAAAGCCGGAGAGAAATGCTCAAGATCTGCTATCCATAGGTGTGATCAGAGTTTACTATAACTCATTTGGAGAGCTTACCAGTCAAGGTGTCTGTAATGAAAGCTGCAGTTTCCCTCTTTCCTATTTCTTAAACACAAAAATTAATAACTAAGAATTTAATACTGGATGACAAAGCACATCCACACTATCAGTTAAATAGCCTCACAGTTAAACACATCTTAAAGACCAATCAAATCAGTATTTACATTTTATAAATTTCTGAAGACACCATTAGAAAGCTTATATATCCCTTCATTAAACAAAATAGGGAACTGCATCTGATGGTGGTGGAATGAAATTAAAAAATTAAAAATACCTGTATATACAGCAGCATTGTTCCTTTATAAATAAAGAATATGAAAATGCAATTATCTTTAAGGATAATAAAAAAATTGAGGTGATGTTACTCAACCACAGTGCTTGAAGTTGGAATAAAAATCTATTGGTGCTTGTTAATGTGCCAGTAGTGAAACCACTTTCTGTTGGAGAAAATCCAACTGCAAATATGTGCATAAAACACATATAACACAGGGCAAAATTGCTCAAAACAATTCAAGTCAGCTTATTCTAATCGTGAAATGCATTACGAAGACATCCTTATAAAGAAAAAAATGTTACGTTTTCTGGTTCATTTTTATAGAACATTTCTTCCCTCAAAAGTGGCATCATCAAAATCTCAAATTCTTCCCTTGTTTAATAATCCTACTGAAAAGATGTGGACAGTTTAATTTTCCATGTGTTTACCTAACTGGGGGAAGAAAAAAACAAACTGTAAAACATTCAAGTTTAAGAAAATATACTGGGTGAGCAATATACTAAAATTATCCACAAAAAATAAATGGTAAGTAATCTCTAAACCAACATAACATTTCACTGTCAAATGTGAAAAATTACCATCTCAAACAGGCATAAGATGAAGAAGTGCTTTTTTCAAATTGTAAAATCATTTTATGAAATGCAAAATATCTTGAGTGTTGTAATTTTTCATTTTAAATTGATTTCAAAATCAAGGATCAAGGTTTGATTGCAAATGCTAATGCAATATAATTTCACAAAACCCTTCAATTTTTAAAAAAGGGAATCACATTCCAATTTTCCCTCCCCTAGAAAATATTTCACAAAGCAAAAAAACAGCCAGTCACAAATGCAAAAAAAATTATAATTTAAATATATGAAATAATTTCTATATTATCAATTTTTTTCATAAGACAATTGTTGAAGTTAAAAAATACTTTCTTTGAAGTATTGCTTTTCATGCTCAAGAGAATGTTGTAATGACATCAATAAAAATGATATACATGTAATGCTGCATAATGAAGTGAAGTAGAACCCTGATACAAATATCCTTGTTGAAATCATTTACTTCATCTTAACAGTGCCTGTTTGGAATCGATGATTAAAAAACAAAAACAAAACTCTTCCTAGAGGCTGAACTCCCTAGAATGCAGTTTCAGTGTTTGTCCATGACACAGGGTTAGGCCTTTTCTTCTCAGAGTTTTTGCTTTTTGCTCTGTTTTGAAACCCCTGAGACACCATCTGTTTCCGAAGCTTTCTCTTTTGAGTTAATTTCACTAAATCCATTTGCTGTCCCATTTTGTTCTTCAGTGATATCTTCATTTGCAGGTGAAGCAGATTCTCCTTTTTCTAGTTTTTGTTGCATTTCACGGAGCTTGGTAACAGCTTTATCTATTGACATTATGCTAATAAGATTAAAGTCATGCATGCTGACTAGATGAAGCATGAAGTTTCGACATAAATTCTTCTTAATTATTGTCTGTCCATAGTTTTCTACAAACAGCATACAGGCGTGATTCATTTGATTGTCAGCAATAAACCTATTTAATAAAAACAACAAAAAATATCAATAACAATACAAAGCATTTTTGTCAAATGGAACAGTGAAAACTATTATAGAACAGTAAGACTATCCAAATCTAGTAAAACAATATTTAGCAAGAAGTAACACTATAGTAAATGTGAGATTCAATAACTTGAATGAGCCTAGCATTTAAAATATTTAAAGAGATGTGATTTAATCAGTTTAAATATCACTTGTTTTTCCTAATTACATACAGCAGTATTGAAAGAATCTCTTGCCAGTATCACTTTCATTAACTCTATGTTCCCAATATATCCTTTATTTTCTCCCTTGATTTTGATATACTTTCCTATTTCCGAAGGAATGTTTTTCTACATTTTCAGATTACGGTAGACCTCTAAAAAACAAAGATGTCACAACAAATAAATATGGCAGTGTGGTTGTTTTGGTGGAAAGTGAATTGAGGGTATATACAATGAATAAAATTTGAGAGAACCAAAAAGGAGAATGGTTGCTAAGTTATCCACAGGAACTGAGTGTCCAACCGAATCCCAAAAGGCCTGCCTGAAGGTTCTTAAATATCCAAATAGTTTGCCCTATAACCTGCCTCTTTATAATGCCAGTATACAATGAACCCCTAGAATTGTGCTAACACATTTAGATCAAAGAATTAAAATAGAACTCAATAAAGTAATGTGACTAAAATCCTATCTTGAAACTGGCATTATCAGGACAAAAGAAAAAACATTTAACTCAAGCTTCTGCATACATACTTTACTCCTTAGTACCCCTAGACTGGGGGACCAGGCAAACATTTTCGATAAAAAGCTATAGTAAATATTGACAGTTATACAAGCCATATGTGATCTGCCATCTTTCTCTTTTCCTTTTTCAGAACCCACTAAACGTGAAGATTATCCTATCCTATATAATAATCCTATATAATAAAAGGCTAATGTGCAAATCGACCAAAGGGTGGAATAACCAGTTGCTATGATGTGCACTGACCACCAGGGGCAGATGGTCAATGCAGGAGCTGCCCCTTAGCCAGAAGCCAGGCTCACAGCTGGCGAGCGCAGCAGCAGCAGCAGCAGCAGCAGCAGCAGCAGCGGCAGTGCTAAGGACCCCTCGGGGATGTCCGACTGCTGGATTAGGGGGAGTGGGCGTAAGCCAGCAGTCAGATATTCTCCCGAGGGGTCCCAGACTGTGAGAAGGTGTAGGCCGAGCCAGGGGGCTCTCCAGCTCTCCTCCCTTTCCCCCTGAATGTCGTGCACCGGGCCTCTAGTTAATTGCTACAGGGCATGCAACCAGATATCTTTATGTACCAACAACCCTTCACTCCCAAGAGTAAGGAAACAAAAGCATTCCCTCCCATTTCACTATCTATAAATGAAAAAACTTTGGATGCTTGTACCATAGAAGAAGGTCTTAAATGAGGATCTAATAATAATGAAGGCAGAGAAGAAAATGTGTAGCACAGGAAAATAGTTTGCAAAGGGAAGGAGGCAGATCTGCAGAAGAAATAATGCTTTGGAACCTGAAGTGACAAAGGCATGAGAAATAGAATTGTTTTACCTTGCCTCCTATGAAATGGTAGTAAATAAAAAAAGCTACTTATATTTTATTCTGATTCAGCAATTTTTAAAACTGTGATAATAGTACAGGCATTTCCTTTTTGTATTCTCTGGCAATAAAAGGAATAAAAA